AGCTTTAATCAGAATAAAACCCTATATTAAAAGTTCACAGAAGCAGTAGCATTTACAAATAACAGCGTATCTAAAAGTATGAGACAACAACAAACAAAAATCTTAGGCCTACCATTAAAAGCCATGCTTGCACAGGTTCTGCGCGATCCTCTTCACTAATATCCTCTGCATCTCAATCGGGCTCAAATTGATAAGCAATATAGACGACATCATTGTTTACAATACAACTGGAGCACATGCCGCTATGTTGAGGGGCGGGACGTTTAGACGCACGCTAGAGGCGGTTTAGCCAATCACAACACACTGGGCCAGCTAATCAGTTAGAGCCCATCGCCTATTTCTGAGGGAGGGGCTTCATAAAAGCAGCAAATGATCAGCACGTTCAGAGGAGAAGGGACAGAGCGGTGTGGAATAAAGGTAAATTATGTGAAAAATAATGCGTTTTTTAACAAACGAAGCATTAACACATGTTAGACTGCACCCCATAAACACAATCAAGCCTATAAAAAAAACAGTCAACCACCCCTTTAATGATCCCACAAAGTCATATTGTGATTTCGGTTTTAGATTTAATCATGTAGCCCTACACCATAGCATCCACACCAAAGAATGATAAGGTTCTGTTTACTATAAACACACCCAACATTCAAGATGGTCCTCACTGCAGAACACAAGATCCATGGGGCATGGTTGGATCCTGATCCAACTCCTCCCACCTTACATATACCTAAACCTACCCGTCTCCACCCCCTGATTCCTAAACCCACCCATCTCCACCCCTAAACCAACCAATCTCCACCCTCTAGATGTGGATCCAACCACGCCTCCTGGATCTTGTGTTCTAAAGTGAGGGGCTACTGCAACAGTCTGCTGTTTTAAATCCTCAAGCTAATTCATAAACATGGAAAAATGTTTTGAAAGTGATTATGGGGGGGGGGTTGCTCTACTTCACTCATAAGGGCTTTTCACACTTGAAATAGTTAACCCTGGGTCATTCTAAACCCTAGGTAAACAGAATCCTGGGTTATCTTTCTTCACATTTCACACTGCTCATCATTTACCCAGGGTTAACTGTTAATTCTGGGTATTCATAAGATAACATTTTACACTGTAAATAACCCTGGTTAACATTCTTAATGGCATATTTGCAATGTCAGTGTCATTGATTGGACTAAGGCAACATGTGACCTGTTTAGTGTTTACATAACAGCTTGAGAATCGTACTGTCAACTTTTTCTCAAATTGACTTTTTGGTGGACTATAAAGAATTAGCCTAAACAGTTTCTTCTTCACTCCAATTCACGCGTTTTCCACTATTTGACCCCTCAAATGCTTTTTAGTTAATAAAGATTCAGGTACTATTAACGCTTTAGTTACTAAAGCAATATTAGGTAACGCTTTAGGTTACAACCCACAACGTACTGCGTAAGTAAACAGAATTTACAGTGTAACTTTTTTGTAATTATAGTGTACCTATTCAGTACCTCTATGTAGGTATAAGGGAATAATATGCTAAGTTTGGGAAATAAAGGGGTAATAATCTGTAAAATTACAAATTATTTCTACTGTAAGTATTTTGAAACTAAGGGGTACCTATTCTAATATTACATGGTATGTATAACAATCTTATATCTGCAAGCGATTTAGCAAAAACATACACTGTGTACTTTTTTATAGTCTATGTAAAGCACGCTGGTAATTGATTCAATACAAACGCTCAGTTGAGACTGTTGGGTTAGGAACCTGGCTTGATTTGACCCAATTTGGGTTGATATCAGTAATAAGTAACCCGAAGGTGCTGGGTTAGGAATGTGGAGGACGTGAAAGAGAGAATGCCGCAAGTCACGCGAGTTCAAACGTGAACGGCAGTGCTTAAGACGGGAACATGTGTGGAAAATAGGAGAAAACTAATCGAAGTGCAGACGAGGGACAACTTTGAAACTGTCTGGAGTGTGTTCCTTTAAAACTGCAGCAGTGAATGTGGTGAGTGTGAACTGGAAACAGAATGGCGCTGGAGACGATCGAGTCAGTGTTTGCGGCGCTCATGACAGGAATATGTGTCGAAAATACAAGAAAACTAATCAAAGCGAAGAGGAGAGAGATTTTTGAAACTGACTGGAATGTGTTCTTTTAAAACTTGAGGGTTTTGTCCGAGTATGTTCTCACAACATTGCGCGACTGGTGAGTGGTAAAACCGGGAACTGTGAACTAGTCAAAATGGTGCTTGAGGACGTGGATCAAAA